TTATCATTCTTCCGATTCCACCCTGGGGACAGCTAGCCGCAAAATTTGTCTTTAAGGCGGACGAAAATTGTCGCAAGGACAGGCAAATATAAGTCTAACAAACAAAGATGCAATTTAAGGCCTTATGCTAAATAAAGACTAGTTGATTTATAATCACTTCAAAGAAGTTGGTGGAAATATCGAGTTGGAAAAGTAAGGAAAATGCATGATTTAGCGCCTTGGGGAGGCCAAGCTTGAGCAGACCCTGTACTTACGAGTGCAGTATGCTGTATTACAATAGACCTACGGACTAGGGTATATTCAATCATTGCTAACTATGCCAATGAATTGAAAACCTTCCTACATCTCTAAAATCATACCGTACTAGTTTTTAGGAAACATATGACACCTGACTACAGTCCTACAGACATTTTGAAGAGGTTTATTCTTAAGTAAAGAAAGGTTGAATGTACTTTGCTTTTCTTCAGGCTTTTATCAACTATAAGAGCTAAAGTAACGGAAAGTAATACACCAAAAGAGCCGTTCCTAGAGAGGTAAGAGGACATACCGGTGTTGGAGTGGGCTCATTACTAGGACGAAGAGGGCCTGAAAGGCTACAGGCATTGCCGGGAGGCCATGCCCCCAAGACAGGATTAGAACCTAAGGGGGCTAAAAATTTCCCTTGATGGGTAACGCAATTATCTATCTCTTACAATAACTTATTTCATTCAATGGGAAGTTTTCTTGCAAGTTATTTTTTAGCAAATAATGATTAAAATAAGGTGTGATTGTTTTCCTAGTAGATAATTATACCATACGTGGATAGTCGGCAGGCAGACGAAAGTGAAGTAATTCTGTGTACAGTGAGGAGGCAATTAATTTGCGTGCACAAGATCCTTGAATTTGAATTTACCGACTTAAAAACGTAGCCAGATTATCATTTACCCAAGATAAAAGTGATTGAGAAATGTGCTCTTCTGAGTCCGCGAAAGATTCATCTATATGCCGAAAATAATGCTTTGGCCTATCCGAGTAGGAAAATGAATTCACTTCTGAAGTGCAAAATTAAGCAAAAAATAGATTTTTAAGCGGAAACTTTCCCAAAATTTCAGAGTTACATTTCATTCACAAAGCGCTTTAATTCAAAAAATTGTTAAGGATTAAATTCACCAGTTATGCGAATATGCTTCGTCTAAGAAACGAAAAACAGCAAGGCAGATCTTTTCAAATTTGCTTAAAACGTGGATATACATGAAAGATTTCATTGCTGTCACTTTCCTTAAGGAAAATGATACCTGCCTTTAATTCGAGAAGCTTCACTCTCACGGTACGAACGAATCTATTAGACTGTCAATAAAGCCCAGGCGACCCTTGAGAGGGGCAGAATAAAGGAGAAGCCGCTGAATCATTGACAAAAAGTAGTAGGAAATTAAGCAATTTTCTTAGCAGATTTGATTTGATGGGCAAGTCCATGGCTAGTGATAAAAGCATTTTCTTCTTTTATACGATTTTGACATTCTAATAATGAAAGAAGTGGGACTGAAAGCCTCTGTTTTTAACCTTGGAAGAAGCCGTACAACTGCGGTCACAAATTCACAATTTTTGGCACCCTCTATTTTTAAAGGCAAAAGTATTGATCTTAATGGTTTACAAGGAGGCTCGTGTCAAGTCGGGACATTCAGAATTAAAATTTGTAAAAAGAGATGTCGAGGCAGCGGTCTTGCACGCAGTCAAGCCCGATCCGTATATCAGGTATGGAATGGCTACAGCACAGGCCGTGAATCAGTCCAGAACCTCTAATCTAGATGGTCGATAATAGTAGTACTGCGTCCAAAGTTTCGAGAACAATAGTCAATGAACCTTCTTGTCTGCAGGAACCTATAATCCCCAAAATCTACAGAACTGCTTAGCCGCTCAGCAGTAAGAATTAAAGTAGTGTAGAAGTTTCAAAAGCAGGCAGGCCACCATACCTCTGTCAATGATGTTCCTGCCTTTTGTCGTCCCCTTTCCCAGGCCTGAGTCTTTGAAATAAGTACTGTAGACATGCACCCAGCACAAGGAAAGTCTAATTTGCGTACTCCACCATCGTACAAACGCAGAAAAGTGGGGTTTCTCTGTGGGAATAGCGGGTATAATGCAGCCATTTACAAAAGTGGGCAATTTTAAAAAGCTGACCCATATTAAGTGTAAACAAAGACCCCTCTCCACTCTCGAACATCACAAAAGCATTGCGTGGCCCATTGACTTGAAGGGGTGCCTTGACAAGGAGAGACAAAATTTCCTAGGCTGTATTAAAATTAGATTTAATGACGAAGTGAATTAGGGTGTCCCAGATTGATTTAACCGTACCAAGGATGCTCTGCAAGTAATAGACAAGGGGCGGAATGAGCATATTAATTAATAGAAGGTTATGTGGTAAAAGAAAGTCGTCTTTATTAAGTACACTTAATTTATTTTGTTTTGTGGGGTCTAAAAATAAAAAATCTCACCCTGATGTGAAAACTTTCTGCAATGTTTACCAATTTTGAGACCGGAATTTTCCAACTCACCAATAAGAGAGGTGTCAGTGGGCACTGAGTTTTCATTTTATCTCAGCACTTTTAAACACGGCTTCTTTCCTATCGAGGATACCTTAACAATAGGCAAAGTTCCAAGTTAACTTTTTTTCCCGCAGGGAAACGGAAGTAAGGAGAGTTGATTCACCCCAAGAAAGCAAGTTGATTTATTGTTCAGGCAGCAGTAAAGCGACTCAGAGGCTTTGAATAGGCAAACTGCAAAAGGAGATTTATGTGAGAATCTGAAGTGTATAAGTCTTGACCATGAGACTCTTCACCGACCTTACATCTCAGCCCGTTTTGCTTCTTTTAAACAGTTATGAATTTGAAAATTCTTTAAAAATTATAAAATCTTTTTTAGAGGTCTTGCAACAGTAAAGCTTACAAAGAATTTGCCTTTAGGCATATTATCGTTATTTTCCATGCAAAGACGATAAATTCCTTTAAATTTGGGTACATGTACACGGACCTTTGAAACTTCAATGAAGACAGTCCAAAAAATCTTTCCATATCTCCCAGTCTTTCTGCTTCACTACAATATTGGCATCTCTAAGTTAACACTTTTGATTAGAGAAAATGAGTGTGGCTTTCGATATTGCATGTCGCGATACTTTGTTGCAACCAGCAGAAACTTGCAAAAGGCACCGAATTAAACGTAAATTCGCGTGAAATCATCCCTTCATTTCAAATCCCTAAGTCCTAATGGAAAATGTACTTCCCTGCTTCACAAGCCGAGTTAACGATGGTTCTAGAGTTGGGCTGCAGAAGCTTTCCATGTAACACTTGAAGAAGGCGGTGTGGCAGAATACACTGCTAGGGAATGATTCCAATACTTCGATTTTGGTGTTGTTTCACACAAAGAAGATCCTTTTTAACACTTGCGATAAGATAAGAAAATCACGTATCACTGTGAAAATCTTCAAATAATTGGGGAATTGCCTATTAAACGAGGCCTTCAGCAACTTACTGTTTGACTGGATGGTTGGAATGAATCATTAGTTTACATTTGTATCAACAGGAGGGGGGAAGTCGTGGTTAAGCTACCAGGTAAATGAGTGGACCTGCATTAGCTAACTGCCACCAATTTGTTCTTCAACACTGCGTTGTTGAATGACTTATGATGTGAAATGGCTTGGGTATTTAATCCAAAGCTTGTTGAGCAGACTAACATATCCTTGTTTATTCCTCAAGCTTCAAGTGTACGCATCACTTCATCCTCAGAAGACCATAATTGCTTTGCGTGGCTGTGTTTCCATGTGTGATTTTACAGTAGACGGGATTGTGATGCAGAAATTGTTCTCCTTCTGAAGACCAAACAATGATTACATGTACAGCTTGTGCGTATGATAATGTTAACATTGAGGCAAAGGTAGAACCGGGACTAGTCAATCAGTAGGACGAGATCCCATTCCTTGATGACAACAGGACTCAAGACTTGACAGTTTCAATTAACGTATTCCTGGGGGTTTTTGCACTTTAGATGGGCAGGAAGGGGAGAGTAAGGGAGAGTGGATGAATGAAAGAATAAATCAGAATACTGTCTCATTCTTACTTCTTACCTCAAGCTTCAATTAGTGCACGTGCGAAGTAGAGTGGACAGCTGGGAAAGAGGGGCGGGATAAGAAGGAAGTTTCCTGGGGCTCTTTTAATTTCTCTTTATTCTTGAGAAAGAGCGTAAGGCAAAAGAGGGAGTTGCGAACCTACACACAATTAAGAAAGGGTGGCAGATTTAAGTTTCGACTTTTCTGGGAAGCTTTCTGCGGCTCATTAAAACATTTTTTTGATAAAGCACAAAAATATGCTTCGTAGTGTAATGCTACGCTTACCTTAGGGGTTTAGACGGAATCTGGATACCTCAGATCAGATACATGTGGTTCTTCTTCGGTACCTTCTTCTCTTATTTGTTTTTTTTAATCTAAATCCCATCTTACTGTGTGGTTAAGAATAGCATTTCATGATAATCTCCTGGCATAATTACTGCCATTTGGTTTTAAGAATGGAACGAATGAACAGATGTAAATAGAATACCAACCACTGAGCCCCTTTTTATTCAGGTGTCGCGATAAAAGGAAAGTAAAAATCCACATTCGGCAGATTCAACGGAGCAATAAACTACTCGAGACTGTGAACATAGAAAAACAACGATTTCAGATGACACGGCTTTAAGTATAGATGGTTTTCGAACTCCGTTTGCTTTGATTTCCATTTAGTTTTAAAAGAATAAGTATTTAAAAAATTTTTCCCCGTTTATTTAATTCACCCTACTAATAAGGTGTATACTGGAATTACTTTGTTTAACGTTCCAGTACAAAACTAACTAAAAGTAAATTTGAAGTGAATCACAGTTTCAGTGGCACAGAAAGTGATTACTTTAATCACTAGGCCAGGGAGAATGAGAGGTATAGGGATTGCTCTTTGTCGATCTTATCAATGCAATCTCATTAACGGTACTAACTGTTTATTGTTCTATACTTTCGTAAAATTAACACGCTGTTTAAATCAAGAGAAATAAAAGTGGCTTTTACCTTTTTTATTCTATTAGGGAGGGGAAAAGTAGAGGTGATCATTCCTATTACAACTTTTAAAGTATAAATTGTCCTAGTATACCATGCTTCCAATAGATTCTGTCTGTCAAAGTGGGAAACTAGTGAAGGGTTTTAAAATTGCTTAGGTTGCCATGAATAAAAGCTTAGATTTCTGGGACATCTTTGACAGTTCATCAGCACTACAAGTCGCATCCACTTCTCTGATCGCCAACACGGTGTCCGAGGCAAAGTGATCAACATAGTCCGGATTTGTGTCCCTTAGAAACTATATTAGCAGGTTTTATTTTGTTTTTCTTTAAAATTAATTTTGTTTATTTTCCACAAGTTGTACAACATATGTGTTACATGCGGTCTTCCATGCACAAATTGGTCCAACTCGCATAAGACCTTGGTTAGTTAGCGTACAAATAAAATGGATGATGGCCAAGCCAAGAGGCGATTTTTGGAGCTCCCAAATTAAATGAAGAGACTTTGATACCTACTTTGAGTGTACTTAAGTCGGTATAGAGTTCTAAAAACTTCTTCGTCTCCTAAAAATTGCACAATACATATCGGCAGACCTCGTTAAAAGCAGGCGGAGGAGGAAGAGTGACACGACACGGCTCCACGGCGTAGAAAGGATAAATGTTGGTCTTTTGCTAGCAATGAGTTCAAATTTTCCCGTCTTTTTAAATGAGGGCAGCACCATTAAATACGGTGTGAATCCGCAAAATTCACGAGAGATAACGTATTCTCTCGGGTGAAATGATTGAAGCAATAAATCAACATTTCGTGCAGCTACTTACCATTCATCTAAGACATTTGTTCTTAAAATGACCTATGCTAAGGTTGGAACTGGGCTGATGCATTCTCTCCACTTATCACATAATATAAAATTATTTCAATTCATAGTTACAGAAGAAAAAGGCAGCCTTTTATTGTAGGGAAATGGAGGAGGCATGAATGAATGGGTTCGGACATTATGATATCACGGATAATGGGAGATGCAGAAGTGAGCTTTTCCATCGACCAAATGACGTGGGGTTGGCCATTCGCGATTAATCCCAGGTAGATAAAAGCTTTCTCGTAGTTTTCAGGAGGATAAATGCATTTCTGGCGTTGCTAATCGTATAAGCGTTTTATGATGAAAATAAAAAAGAGACCTTTTTAATGAAGCATTAGAAGTATTCGAATTAAGAAGGAATGTCTCTGCTACACCTTTTATTTCTAAACTAGCATTTTTAATTTTATGGACTACACTAACTAAAACGAAACAGCACCTTAGTCGATCGCTCTGTACTCCCTAAAAATAAGAAGTGAAATTGGTTGTTTGAAATTAAATTAGAGACGGTTAGAAGTACTGCAAGTTAAAATGGCATTCTTAAACTAAGTAACAGTGTTTAATTCATCTAGATTCTCCTCAGATATGGAGGCCTGTCAATGTAATACTGCAGTTATTTGTTCATCTCCTCTTTTGGTTTCACGAGTGTTAAAAAGCACGGTTGTTGTGCTCTCTCGCATTGACATGGCCTCTAAACCACAATCGACCCCATTATTATGACTTCTTCCGAAGTCAGGGAAAACTTGTGGCTTCATATTCATGGTAACGAAGAGGTAAGATCCAAGAGGACAACTTCCCTGATTTCTTTCCTGAATGTTAGACCTTAAAGTGAGGAATGAAGGAATATGCTATGGAGGGGAGAAGCTGTGACGATCCTTAACTGAGGGGTTGAAAGTAATGTCTGCCTTTAACGACTACACCAGTCCCGTGCTCTGCAGGAATGCTATTAACTGCCGAAGCGCCACCAGCCGAGAACCATTTAAAAAAGTTCGTCTACACTACCTATATAAAGACGTCAACGAAGTGAACACGCGATACCTCTTTCACCTTTCTACTAATTGGCTAGAATCCCTGATAAATGTGGCTGGGTAGCAATGAAGTGAGAAAAAAGATGACAAGGAGGGACAGACTCAAAATCTTTTCTCCACAAAACCAATTTAACCCCTATCCCTTACTAAATGACTCTGCTTTTGGGCCAGTGTTATTACGACCACCGGTGGGCGTGCGTGACGGCATACACATTCATCTTTCGCCAATACAGATTCCAGACAGGACGTAACCTTGGTTCCAATGGAATTGCTAAAGAGGGTCCATTGACGAGGCAGTCAGATATCATCTCAGTTGGACTCAGATTTGATGACTAATGCGGTTGGCTGTTACCCCATTGTGTCCAATTGGGGTGATATTTGACTGCCATGTCACCGAAACCTCTTTAACAATTCTGTTGGATCTAAGGTTTCGGCTCGTTTGAATTTGTATTGGAGATGGAAAAATGTCTAGGCCATCACACACGCCCAATCCCAATCACAACATAGGTCATTTGGGAACTAATGACTTAGCTGAAGAGCAGTTAGTTAATTCGAAGTTTCTACTCAATACTTTTCTCCCCTTCGCCTAAAAAATTTGGCAATTTCCGTGAAACCCGTGAATTCGAACGAAATGTAGGGCGCTCCCTCCAGTCAATAAATTTAAACTTAAAAATTGAAAATATTTTACTTGCTCCTAAAAAAAGAACTGAATTTTTTCTTTTACGTCGTATAGCTGTGTTGTATTACTAACCCCTCCTTTACCTGCACTTAATGGGCCTTCTTGACACGTATTTTTCAAATATTGGGAGACAAAACTTTTCAAAACTCCATACCGACTTAAGTACACTCAAAGAAGGTATCAAAGTCTCCTTGTTTGATATGGGGGCCCCAAAATCGTTTTGTGGCTTGACTATCATCCAGGTAAATAGCTAGGTAGTTGAAAATAAATATTTGATGGATAAGATTTCTTACGCTTTATGCAACTTACTGTTCTAATAATGTAAGTATATTTTCCCTGAGTTAGTTAGTCACTTTGTGTCGATTGATAAATGAATACGTTTCCTTTAAAAGTTTTGAAATAAAACGAAAAATAAAATAAGTAGGTGTTCTTAAATTTCTACTATTAAGCTTAATAAAGCAAAAGTTTCCAGAACCCCTCATAAATGCGAAATTTTTTTTGAGAATAAGCAACTCGCAGTAAAGGTCCTTATTTCCTTTGCATAAAATCCTATCATTTTCTTTACATTCAAAAAGTGGTCTAATTTCCTAGATCAAAGGCGAATTCGTTCTTTAAAATAAGCAAAATTCTGTTGGAAATTTGTGGAAAAATGCCTGTCTTGGTTGGGACATCCTTGCACCTCCAAAACAGCGTACTCAGAGGATGTCTGATTTTATTTTTATACCATCGGAATTCACATTCAGGGAGTTTTCGCAGATCTCGAGGGGAATCTACTTTTAGCACTTGCTAATAGTAAAGATGAAATGTCTAACAAAGATTTGTATTCATTTATTCACTCAATTATGCACTAATTTGTTCACTCATTCACTTTCTATTTCAATCATTTCTTGGGTTGTTTTAGCTTAAGTCACAACAGCTTGCGATTTGAATATAGATATAAAACTGCAGCATAATTTCTTGTTTTTTGATTCGAAATAAACGCCGTTTTTAGTTACAGGTTGGGATAAGGTGCGACAAAGTGGCACTTTCCTACCTCTATTTGAGGGTAGCAGTAAATAAACTCACAAACATTCAAATAATAACTGAAATCCATTATTTCACTTGTTTACATTTTATTCTTCCCTTCGCCCCTCCGTCAGTGCAGCGCCATCCATTTACTGGTCTTAAGTCGTTTACGTTGTATATGGAACAATCCATAGGGTTGCTTTGAAGTGAAATTTTGCTGAAAGCTCAGATGGAACGAACCTGAGGGTGTTGACAAAGAAACATTTTTGCTATGGTTACAGATTTAAACAAATATATCAAAATAATTTGAGTGCTGTTAGTTTGAATTAAAGTATGAGACCTTTTTGTTCCTCAACAGAACACTTGATAAGTCTTTACTGTAACCTTGTAATAGCAATAATTCATCCTACCCCATCAAAAACGCACTAGAAAACTTTTGTTCCTATAAAGGTGGTTACTAAAGAAAGCAAATTCACCTCTATTAGGGACTACATCTCCAAAATATCAGCTCTATTTTTAGTTCAAATTAAACTCCATTGTCCTAATGTAGTAGTAAAGAAATTAGCTTTTCTGAAAACCACTTAAATTAATGCTGATGATAAACTTAACTTAATGGTTTATTAAGTTGACACATCAAATGTCTGTGATGTCATTCAAATGACATTTAAAAAGCATTAAAATTGCGATAACTCTATAATCCAGAATGTCCTCAATCTATTCTGGTGTTTTAGGCTCAACCGGAAGTTATTAAAACGTTCTACTTTACGCATGTCACGTATTTAGTACACCTGTATCCAGAGGTTAATTTGGTGTCGTTAAATATATGTGACACCGGTAGTAACCATTGGAACCCTCAAGCTATTGAGTGCTGAACCTAACCCCAATTTAACATCTTAGCGAGCAGTATTCCAACTTTTATTAGTAAAATGGGAGTTATTTAAACTACAACTTTAGAAATTTGAGCCTTAAATGGGAAATAAATGCGGGACATGTTTGCGGTTGATGCACAGCAGATGTTCACCCATAATTTTCTGAGTTTTTCCCTCTTGGCCAAAATAATAAATAGTCAATCAAATTATATTTTCAAACAATAATTTGATAAGATCTGTGAATTCTAAGTGATGGGATTCTCAATTTTGACCAGCTCTACGCCTTCCCGTTCTTGACTAAATCTTTTATAATTTTTTCATGTAATTTACCGGGAATTTACAATTCTATTATTTTAATGTCAATGCTTTTTAGGTTTCTTGTTTTTAATGCAAGTATGATTGTATTTTTGCAGTCATTTCTATAAAAATTACGTCTGATCGAGGTGGATGAAAAAAACCAGATCACTTGAGATCTCCCCGCGTTTTCATGCGTTGAAAAGCTTTAAACGTTCCCCAAAATGAGACACTGTTATTTATTCCGTTTATTCCTTTTTCCTTAATTCCAAAAAGCCTTTTAATGCTTAATTACGCAGACTTCTTATAATAAGGGGAAGTGGATAAGACAAAACCTTCTGCCAGACCATTTCATGCCGCTTTCCACGAGGTATTCTTTTACCTCCTGAATATAGAGTAGATACCTCTATACCTTTATACAACATTCAAGGGGTAACTCTTAACAGCATAGTTGACTTCTCTTTCTTCAAAGTTATGAAATCTTGCCATTCACTTCTTCTTATCTCAGGCCACTACAAGTAACGGGAGGCAGGTGGGAGATTGCCACAAATACAGAACGCTTGTCTACAACCCCTAGTGTTGATATGAACAATCAAGAACATTAAGGTAGAAATGGTTAAAGGACGGGAATGCTATTTCTCTTCCTACACTATTTCTAGGCATCTATTTGTACAAAAAGTCATTATCTGGAAAAGAAAATAACAGGGGGTCAAAATCTTGCACCCAGCTGAAACGTTTTCCTAAGAAAAAGGCGTGTACAAGTCACCGGTTTTTGTCAAGCACGAGGAGAGGAGTTGCACAGAGTATTTAACAAATGTTTCCTCCCTTTGGCTTAAATTTAGTTGTTGATTACAAGTGTAACTAGTAAAGTTAGGTAGGTTCCTCATGCATTTTAAAACGAAACTAGGAATCAACCAGGGTAGGCTAGGATTTTGACAAGGGAATATATCTGTTAATTGCAAGACCCACGAGGACTTACAATGAGTATACACTCGGAGCTACAGCTCCTTTACTAATCTCTTCAAAAATAGAATGTGATAAGCATCCAATAAATTAAGAATGTATCTTAAAAACTGTTTGCAGTTTGACTACTAGCATAGTGTGGTTTGAGGCACCTGCTTCCACAACTACTTCTGACATATTTAATGTGTTCCCTACAGAACACCCTCCAAACCTTGGAATTATTTTCCAAACACGTCCAGCTCTGAAACACCTCGGTGTGCTATTCAGGTTCCCCAACAGTGTTCACAGAACACACAAATTTCCGTAACGATTGAAGAGGAGGTGTAATGGCAGTGGGCTCTAAGGATAATACTCAATGAAAAAGGTGACGTTGTGGGAAAAGGTGCGAAAGCTTGAGCTTTTTAGCCTTCATTCCTACCAAAGTCTTCCAGCACTACTTCAATGTGTGTGCAGTAATGATGCAGGCTGCCACTAACACCCAATCATGGCAAAAAAACTCAGATCATTTGTCTACTTTACACCAATTTTGTGATGCTATCGTAATAGTTGCGAGGTTATATATTCCATTGCCAAAAAATCCAAAAGCTAAATAATTGAAAATGCGAATTGTAGGAGCACGTGGGGAGAGTACACCAAATACCTACGAAACTGACTACATACTGCTTTTAACTAGCTAGAGCTAATTCTAACGATAGTTACTTCACTGTCTATTTTACTGTTTAATTACCTTGTACAAGGAGGGGAACAAGGGCTAGGGTGGTTTTAAATTCACAAAGAGTTTCCTAGGAGCTTCTCTTGCACCCCTGAACATGTCTGGCAAAAGGCGTTTCCACTGTAGTATCGGCCACGTTTGACAGCTTTTCCCACCCCCACCCACTCTCCCTCTCTCTGGCATGTGCCTTTGCCTGACCGCCATGCCAGCGGCGTTCCCTCTGCCCTACAATTTGTAACTTTTATCACAGTGCAAAATACTTCACAATGTTCCGAATCTTCCATTCATCTTACTTTTTTGTATGCAGCTTTGGGAACGTTTCAGGTCCTTGAAACTGTAAAATAAAATTTGTCGAAAGTTTCCTTTACATTAATGGAAACGCATAAATGAAGTTCTTCTTTTTTAAAAATTCTATCCGAATACGTATCACTTGTATTTTGCAAATAAGTTTTTTGTGACAACTGGAAGAAATTTCTACTTTACTTTGACGGTTATTTTAATTCTCGGTTTTGGCAACCGGCCATTTGGGGCCCCGCCACTGCACCCACGCCGGGTGGCCCGACCTCAGGAAAAAGCCGGTAGCCTCCTAGCCCAGCAGTGCGTTGACAATACATCTTCCATTTCAGTATTATGCCTTCTTACGTCTTCAGGGAAGTCTCGGGGCGCCAAATTCCAAAAAGTTTATAAGCTTATAAAGTAATGTCAAAAAACCCCGAATATTCCCAACTTTAAAACTAAATTTAATTGTTCAGGTTATTTTCAACGCTAAATAATAACACATTTGTGTGATTAATTTGTGAAATTTGGATTAATAAATAAAATACACCATGTTTTGGTCAACTTTAAACATTTTGCATTGCTATCAAGGTCACATCCCGCATAATAAAATTGTGCTTTTTGGTTAGAAAAATAAATCCATAAGTAATCATGCTTGTTGAGAATTACAGGGGCCGCACAAAGACTTTACAACAGTTTTTCTTGGCAGTATGTCCACGATAAGAGAGAATTTATGATCCATTTTTCAATAACACTGTCATTACTTGAAGTGTCACCGGAAGTATTTAAAAACTACAGCTGACAAGCAGAAATGCCTCTCCAATTGACTTTAAGAGGCCAATTACTCCCTCAAAAGATAGTTTGTCATATTCTTAGCTGGATTTTTAGACTTTATAAGTGTAATATTTTCTTATACCTAATAATGAGTGGACAATGCTATAGATGTTTACCAAGGTTAATGATGCACATGAATAACTTTGGTTTTTTTTTTACTTTTTCATTTTGAAGACAAAGAGGCTTAAGGCTGTCTTAGTAATTCATTGGGCAGCATGGTGTGTGGGACATATCAGTAGCCCTTCCGCCCTTATTTACGCTGGAAAAACATATTTTGACTCAGTATTGTCTTCTTCCAACTTCAGGAAAGTGTCAACGCGCCACACTGGTGGGAGCGAAAAGCAAACTCGTTCATGTAGGACAACTACCCTGATTTCTATTACTAAATGCTCAACCATAAGGAGGTGTAAGAAGGGCGTATGCTGCGGATTGAGAATTGTAAAGGGCCCCTAAGAGAAGAGTTTAAAATGACGTCTACCTTTGGCAACCACTTCACTGCCGTGTTTTAAAGGAATGCTAATAACAACTACACTAGCCGTGGACGTGAAACATCTAGCTATGCTTGTTCCAGAGTAGTCAACGGTACCTGCATAAAGACGTCATTAAAGTGAGAATGTAATAATTTCTACATCCCTCTATTAGCTAAGTAGGACGCTGACAGATATGACTTGGCAGCGCTTAGGCAAGGGCAAAGTGACAAGGAGGGACAGACATGAAAGCTCATCTCCACAAAACTGTTCTATACTCCGCCCTTTATTAAATGACTCTGCTTTTATGCCAGCGCTCTTACGATTAAAGATGGGTATATGAGATGGCAGAGACATTGCGCCTTACCCTAATATAGCTGTCAAATAGGGTGATACTCCAGATTTAGTGGAATCGACAATTGCATGCATATTGATGGCTGACACGGTTTGTTGGTGGGCTTTTCTTACATCGCCAACTACGTTGATTGGGTCGACGCCAACAGTAGATTAAGGAAGCACCAGCGACAATGCTAAAAAAGNGCGAACCATTACATAAAATTTTGATTGTTTGTTTAGCTCCTCTTTTTTTATTACACGGGCACTGAAGTCCACGGTCATTGTATTTCCGTGCGGTAGCATGGCCTTTGCGCTATGCCAGTGGCTCCCCATCTCTCCTCTGTATTGCCAATACGTTTTCTGTCGAAGTGTTAAGACTTCTTCCGTCCTTGAGAATGACTCGGGGCACTTCACACAAACAAATGATTGTAGCTAGGCGTTAGTCTAAAATTGAGCAAATTCGTTTTGAAATTTCTCGCACAATCATCAGCTCTTTTTCTCTTTCATGCATTATCAAGTAAAACCAGTTGTGTTTTAGAGGTTTAGAAAGAAAAGGAAGGAAAGTTCCATTATTTCTTTAAAATTAAGTTGAAAAAGGTGACACCTAATGGTGTATTTTAGGCTTTTATGTCAATTTACATTCGCCACTAAATCGAGAAGATTATGCGCCAACTGTCAAAAATGTTTCAGAACAATGCATAAAAGCAGACATTTGAACAGAGTCGCATTTAAATGATTATTTAACTCGAGGGAGGTCGTACCTTTTTTGTCAACTGTTGCATAACCGGCAGAAAAGAGTAGTTTTTGAAATCAAAAGGACTACAGTTGAATAGAATTGAGACGAAAATCATGTTTTTACCTACATTTTGAATAGGCACCAAAGAAAGGAGCAATTGAATTGCCAAGATGTCATTTAATAGATATTGCAATACTGTTCAGACATAAGTTAGTGGCTACCAACCAAAGTAAATATCCCCTTTTTGTGCATTCTAAATGGAACCTCATATTTACACTGGATTAGCCAAAGTTTACGTAATGAATTCATCAAATATTTCGCCTATTTGGCATGAAGGATCAAGAGTCTTTTTAAAGTGAAAGGAATGCTCAAAACTTAGGAAGAATAAGTGTGGCCCGAGGTCAAGCTCAACGGAAGTACAAGGACCGACCCTTAAATCCTCACGAAACCAAAAAAGAGCTGAACAAGTAATCAAAGTATTATACAGCCGTCGTCTCCGGTGCTCCTTCGGATCCATAGTCGATGGTGCAAGATCGGCATCCACAAATCAACCGCCCCAGCCATTTAATTGCTATGCAAATGGGAAGATATCCTATGACAAACTCACTAACCACTTTGGTAAATTCGCTAGATCTGGAGCTTCGTCCAGCCTAGAAACTGTATAGAGGAATGGAGAATGTGTTTGCCATCGCGTGCACTCATCACTTGCCTTAAGACCATTGGCTTGAATGCAGTCTTTTAGGGAGGGGCGGAGTTTCAAATGATTTCCTAAGGATAAAATTTCACATTTCTTCCCCCTCACCACTTTGTTTCCACTTCAGGGCTCCCCAACAGTATCTATCTATATGGTTTCTATCCAGCTACTAAAGAGGTGTAGGAGGCATCGCATCCTTGCTTGATTGAAATCTTCGTGATGGTACCGTAGGCTGCTCCGTAACAAACTCTTATCCAATGGTTCAAGGCTAGTGCTGCTTCAATTGTTATTAGCATTTCTGAAGAAAATGAAAATAGGGTATTTGTCGATAGCAGAAGTCATATTCAACCCGTTTGTTAGGGGTGGTTATGGATTATTCCAGCCGCAGTATATGTCCTTCTTCGTCCAGGTTTGGGTTTAGCAATTATGGAAGTTGTTTGCTTTCTTCTGTCTTTAATGTGGCGCGCCGAATATTCTTAGAAGACGAAAGTTATCATACTACTAGAACAGGAAATGTACTATCCCTATGCAAAAGAGTTAGGGGGACCGCTTACATGTTTGGAGGCCATGCCTCTCGGCAGAAGTTCAAAGGCGAAATCTTCAGTGCCCGCAAGACCAAAATGAATTAAACACGTAATCAAATATTACGTATCAAAACGCAGGTAGTTAAAAGAACTCAAAAATCGCCTACATTTAAATGTTATAGTGGATTATGTTTACTCCCTTAATACCTGTGTCTGCTCTAACAGTGAAAGTCAGTAAAGAACGGCAGCTCACAGTGTTGATGAGAAGCTGCAATCATGGCTGATTCGCTGTGCCCCAAGAGAGAAGTACACCCCGTTTAGGTTGAAGAGCCTGGATGTTTAAATGGCAATTGGGATCATATGTCTTCACTGCATTGATACCTTGTTTTAAGAGCCGTCTTTAACTCTCAACTTAGACATTCTTCCACGTTGACCATCACAGTGTCATTGATAACTCAAAAGGCATCCAAAAGCCAGGGACGATGCACAACGCCAGTGATGAATCTCGTCATTTCTATGGCAGTCAGAGTTGCGTCCCCTTTATGACCTGCGTCTCGGGAGTTCACGGGACGGTACTCAGTGACAAATACATATTAGATACCAGTTCTATTTGCCTAAAAGTAGAGACACCCAGTGAAAAGTTGGTTAAAGGTCTACATGGAGCTTACGTCCTTGGTAAACTTACATTAATACCTTTTTACTCATATTATTGTAATTAAACCATCAGAGTGTAATTAATTTAACCGTCACAGACGTGAGAGAGATTACTTTTAACGGGGCACTTATTCAGAATACTCAAGTCTGTTATTACCTCAGTTGTTTATTGCCCCCTTGTTAAAAATGGTCACGTTTCAGTAACCTTTCTGTTGTGAGTCTGCAATTACTAAGCCGTCCACATCGTAAGCTATCATCTGTGATGTTCAGATTTGGCAGTCAGCACTTAATTTCACTATTTTTAACTTTTGCACCGAGTTTGCCAGTGGCTTCCTCGAAGTAGTAGTAATGTATACAGGCATAGAGTAAATGGCTGTTACTGGCGCACTGAAGGACAGGAGTGTTGTGTTGCCACCTGTGAAGACCACAGCGCTCAAGAGGTAAAATGTGTCTTTGAGCAGCATCATGCGAAGTTAGTTAACGAAGGCATTAAATGCTCCTTAGAAATACAATCATTCTTCTTTATGGTAAAACTTAGTCGTTACCATTCTTGTGCTTGAGCTTGACTTCTTCCAAATTTTCAATTCTATTAATCCAGGAGCCAATGCCTTAAATGCGGATTTTCTTATTCGCATAACCGTATGAGTAAGCAGAGGATAAGGAGTGTGCTCCCACGACCATCAGCCAACTAATGACCTTGAATGGCCTTGACCCCGTAATCATTATTAGCAGGTGCAATGTTTGAATGAACGTGATACTGACCAACCGGGAGAGTTGAGAGAGTGGGCGACTATCTAGAACCTTCAAAACTTATCCGAAAATCTAAAAAGGCATTTTTGAGATCGTAGACATCCCCAGAGCATGCCAAGTGTTCTAAAAGCCATGACGCGGTAGTTACCTGTTAGGGTATTTGCAACTCTAGAAAGAAGTTGTGTCTTCAATACTAGGGAAGTCGCCTTTTATTGCATCTAATTTCCAAACCTTGCATCAGGCGCCTTGAATTTTGCTTTCATGTTCGCTTTCTTCTGGACGGTCAATATCAGCAGGTGACAGACTTCAAATGTGACATTATTTTACTCTAAAAGTAGGGCGATTTAAATGACACGTAACTAACCGCGTGCTCTAGTATCCTCTATCACGCTAGCCGCCGAAGGGTATCCACCCGCTACACTTCTAGTGCACGCAAACCTTTGAATATCTTGATCGGGAAATCAACGGATTTTGTGGTCACGTACGCGTGTAGCAGTTTATACCACCGGTACCACTTGGTTTTCAATGTTTTAGCTTGGATGTTTTTATTTTAAAAAAGTGATAATCCTAGTTGATTAAATGGGAAAATAAGCCCAATCAACTGGTTCAACCTGCATTTGAAGAGAATTGTTTTAATATTTGTACCTTTCACTACGGCTAATAAAATACTTAGAACTTTCACAGCCTTTATATTGCTTTGGACAGATTCTCTGAACAATCATTTTACCTAGAATTAGGCAAAGTAATTGCATAAGTATGCAGTTTATAACAACAAGAGAAAAGTGGACGCTTGCCTCAATATTAGTAAATCAGGTTAGAAAAATGTAGCAATGAAGAATTAATGATGTTTGAATGGACAAACTGATGAAGATTCCTTCCTGTTTACCTATCGTAAAGTGCTATTAAAGGCCAACATACTCAAGTCTTTATCACATTTGACGCAAACAAAAAGTTCTTCACCCCCGGTGCATATTTCTCCCTAATATCTCAATACTTTTTAATTGTCCATCATAAAATGAATCGAAGTAATTCCCATATTAGACAGTGATTCAAAATTTGAACAGTGTTATAAACAAGTGTAATGTACGCTCAACAGACCATGCCCGCATTACGGAGGCTTTATTGTTATGGCCGTTAATACTAATGGACGTTATTGTATAAATTATACACCACTTTTGACACCATAGAGGAAAAATAAGGAGGCGCTACTTTGTATGTCTATTTGTCATAAGAGGATCTGCTAGTTGAGTCGGTTTTTTGCTGAGGCTTCTTCCTCCAGAAGCTGTTGAAATCTTCCCACCCAGCAGCCAGGCAAGTAAGTAGAACGACCGCTCTAGGGAAGATGACTGTATGAGGCAATAAATTTCATCACTTCTTTATCTCCCCTGAGGCAATATCCAATAAATTCCGCTTCTTTTTGGTACGTTTATCCAGATTTTTGTATGGAAAAGGGCTTAAAAGTTTTTGCTAGATCAAGTACAGCAATTACTGAAATCGACTGAGGTATGTCTTTGCTACTCATCTGGTCTGAAAAAGCCTTCTTTGCCAGCAGTTCACTTCAAAGGCTGCTGTTTGGCTAAAAAACTCCAAACATTTTTTTGGAAAGACAATGCTTACACAGGATATTCAAATACTTTGGGTGAACCGCTAGAAAGGAGAAGACAAAAGGTAATAATGACCCTCGCGGTTTGGTGACAAGCGAAACGCCCAGAAAGGTGACTGTTTTGAGTCCAGT